TAACATAATCAGCGCAATCGCAAATTCAAACCTACGCATATGCTTTAAAAATATTTTATCTTTGTGAAAAAGCGTAGTGTTTTTTCATGTATTGAAAAAATACAGCGCATAACTAAACAAGGAAAATTGCCTTGTTCCTATAAACCTATTCCTCGGCACTCTTAAATGCCTTGCCATGTCCTCATTGCATTTGCATGCCGACATTATAGTTAATACGGTTTTCCCCTGAGATTATCAAATGTCCGGCACGTGCCAGCTGATGACGTGTTTATTGTTTACGTTTAATATTTCACATCTCTTGAAAGTTGATTTCTCATCTCGGTAACGAATGCTAGTATTTTCATGAGTTGCTCATGGTGGATATGTATCCTAAAGTTTCAAATGCTGTAAAATATGATAGTATGAATATTAGTCTAGAAGGGTCATATTTTAGAAATTCGTGGCAGGGCGAAATTAGCAAGAAATTTGCCAAGCAATTTAGACGATGCTAGATGTATTTGACATGTTGTGGCCTTTCGACGACTTGAGCCGCATAATAACACCATTTTTAGCGATCTTGTTTGCGTCGTGCGTTTCGGATATTAAGCATATTTATATCGTTAGTTCTTCAGAAAAGCGCAACAAATGATATTATGTCATTAACATATCAAATTATTACTCATATAAAGCGTAAATGTACGGATACCAAAGTTGTTGTATTTACGGAAGGATAAAATTAACACAACCGGGCCGTGCGTGAAATTAGACAGTTCAATTTTGCGCGAGTTATTTATCGCGGTTTCGCGATATGGAAATAAGTTGAACGCTTGACATTACTTTTGAATACATTCTCTAGAATGGTCATCAATCAAAATTTTACGTTTTTCGTTATAAAGGTAAAAAAATAAGGTTTTAAACGAGCTTTGCGATCTATCCCACCGCTGACCAGCCCCTTTGTCAGAAAAAACAGTGATCTTTCACAAGCTACCATGGACGAACGGAACGGAATAATGTCTTCATTTTCCCTCACGTACTAAGGAATATGACAAGTAAAAATGGTCTTTCAAAAAACTTGGATTTCCATTAGTGGTTAAGCGGCCAAAGCAGTTTATTTACAAACTAGTCGTTCCAGCTCCAGGTTGAAATCGAACCTGGAGCTGGCTCCAGGTTCGCGAACCTGGAGCTGCGAACCTGGAGCCGTCTGTCTCGTCATCGATTATTGGCATAATTTGCATTTCCCGCGATGTGAACTGTGAAGACAGCGCTGTTTGAATCACCTCCGTGTCAGGTCAGTCTCATGAATAGTATATTAAATTAAGTAATGGGGTAACAGCAATATTTATAACAGTATTTTTCTGATATACAGTACACACTTTATAATATGAACATAGTCTTAGATAATTCCATAAACCACGGAATAAATAACGGCATAAACCACGGCATAAACACCGTGATATCACACTCAGTCTGATATACATATGCAGTCATATATAGTCATATGTACCCAACACAGATATATAAACACTTACATAGTCTATAGAGTTTGATTCAGTATTAATATATTTCACAAAGTACTTCATTACAGTAAAGTAATTTCATTACAGTAAAGCTAATGTCACAATTAATAAAGCTATTTATCAAATTTATCATGCGGACTGCATTCTCTAAATGTCCTAAATGTCAAATATGAAACATATACAGTATTCGTATTTGTAACATACACGCACAAAAGAGTCTTTGACTTATCTTTGAGTAGGCTATTGTCGGATTATTTTACCGTAGGTTTGATAACAGGGAGGTATACTTCGACATATTTCTTGAGCATCAAGTTTCAACAGCTTCTGGTTTTTCGTATCTGAGGATGGTTCTGAAGTTTCAGCAGTCCGAGTAGCATTGTTTAATACAAGCAACATTGTTTGCGATATTTCAGAAATCAAAAGATCTCTATATTTCCTTACATATCTCAGTATTAAATAAATCCTTGTAGTTTAGGATAGACACCAACAGCTAAATAACAGCCACATCGGTCAGTACTGGTGTAGAAATATATTTTCTTGTAACGTTTGCGACGTGTTGATTTCTTCGACGAGCTGTATCGGCATAATTTGTCTATTGAAATCTGATCGACATTCTGCGCACAATGAAATTTGATATTTACCATTGTGTAACATTGACAGTATTCATGACAAATAAAATATACAATTTTGTAAATATTTCCTGCATGATTTCTGGGCAGATTTCTTCGCTCACTCCTCGCTCAATGACAAAACGTACTTAGGTACCCACCCTAATTGAAATTTTTTGCTATCTCCCAGATTCTTGGAGACACGTGACCAGCCGATAGCAGGGTCTTTCCCAGCCGGTGGAAAGTCCCTGCGACGGAGGTTGAGGCTTTGTTAACATTTCGGTATCCAAAATATTGAATTTTATTCGACAACTATTTATATTTCCATGATTCTAGAGTATAACAAATTATCAAGACACAACAATCAAGCTTTGCAAGAACATAAAATGAAATAAAAACCTAAATAAACTGTTTGTAAATAAAAAGAGGGCTCCTTTGTGCAAATGCGCAGATCGAACTGTACCGCATCTTTAATAGTACGAAGTACTAATGAACCTGTGGCCCTCATAAATAAATAACTGCAATAGATAATTTAGACTGTTGACAACGCCTGTTGTGCAGACGTTCTTAGTACCTCACCCCCCCCCCCCAGAAGTAAAAGTAGAAGTGGCTAAGGCCCTCCCCACAACCCCCAAAAAAACGATCAGAATAAACTTCTGAAAAGGAAAAATTCTCCCTAAAAAATGGGCAAATGTAGAGAAAAAATGAGGAACGAATTTTAACCCTTTCACTGACCCCAACCCCAACCTTAACCCAACTCTAACCTAACCCTAATTTATTTTAAAAATTGATATAAAAACCGGGAAACCTTATTTTGAAGTATACTATCTAGCAATTGCCTTTATATATAAATTAGCTGATGTTTTTATTACAATACATCGTTTTGATAATTACGTCACAAATCTCTGCTCTGATACTTACGTCACAAATCTCTCACTTCTTGATTCATGAGAGCGAGGCTCCCAGGCCAAAGAAGTCTTTGTGACGTAAGTATCAAATGGTGAAGTGAAAAAACAACAGACTTGCTTTACATGCACTTACCATATTTTGTCATTAGGCCAAGCGCTGTAGATTTTCCTGAAATGCTCGAACAATCCCATCGTTCATTATTAAACTGTTTAATACATTCTTGTCTTGCCAATCTAGCACCCTCAATAACACTTTCCATTAAAAGCAAATTGTTTCGACAAATATTGTGTTGTCTTGGACTTAAGTCTCTGTATATGTCACAAAATAGGCTGTGCTGGACAGCAAACATCGTCCCATTTTGTCCATCCTGCACAATGCTTCGTTTCATTTCAACAGATCTAAAATTCAACAGAACCATGATATGTTTTTCAATGTTTTTCAATTGAAAATAGCAACTTTTGTTTACAAAATTCTAGCAGAAACAAATGATGTCCCGTCAGTATTTGCCAGTAGTATTAAGGTTGTATCCGCTCAACACTCTCATAATACCAGATTTGCTAGCAGACAGAATTTAAGTAGACCAAAAGCACGAACTAATTATGGAATACAAACATTTAAATTTATTTCATCACAAATTTGGGAGTCTATTAATCCTGAAATCAAACGATCAAATTCAATGTCAATATTTAGAAAAAGATATACTCAATTCCTAATTATTTCACAAACACCCCCCTCTAATTCCTTGAGGCAATGATATTGTATTTAATTTGTCATATATAAATATCTTGTTAAACTTTCTCTAAAATAATTTAATGAGGCAGTGATCAACTCGAAAGCTTATTGCTACTTTGATCACTGCGTGCAATATGTATTATATTTTTTTTCCTTCTTTTTTTCAATAATATTATGTATATATCTTATCTAATTGTCTTTAAAATTTGTGTGTAAAAAAAAATTGTACGAAATTCATTAAAAATTCTAAAAAAAATTCTATCAACATATGGACATTGGAGGAAATTACTGTTATACGTAATCAAAGTTGTGAACTGAAATACTCACGCGGAATCAATCTGTTCGCAAAAATATAATACAAAGACCACAATTACGAATTGACACATTGTTTTCATCGTATATCTGCAAAGAAAAACAACATGCAACAAGAATGATCAGTATTATTTGGATAATTTTCACACTCTATAGAATCTTCAGTCAAAATATACAATGTTCTGAAGATTCTAGAATGTGATTATCATGAGCCCGGCTAAAACTTAAACCGGCAAACCGCGGCTTGACTAATATCACGAAAATCTTTCCTCTCCATGACCTTGGATACAATATAGAATTCAACTAGTTTTAGTTTAAGATTAAAAGATAAATTTAAGTTAATTAAGGAGTAAGACGTGAATTGGAACCTGCTTAGCTGGGTTATATAGTCCAGCTAAGTCCAGCTCAAATAATGAAATAAACTACTCCTATACGTTTCCTTAAACACATCCAGTGGCGCAACTACTAGGGGCCCAACCTGGCCGAAACCAGGGGCCCTGGAGAAGGAACTTCTTAGGGGGCCCTTGGCTAATATCAAATAACACAAACATTGTATTATAACTTTTATTGTATTGTAACATAGCTAGCTTTTCAAGACCGGATGGTCATCAAGAAAAGACTATATAGACTATATACGAGCGGTAAAGACAGATTACCCGAAATCAGGACTGAAAGTCCTGAAACAATATAGTAAAGGAAGTGAACGCAAAGAGAAATCTTAGGTTATAATGATAAGTACTCTAAAATTTCTTCTTTCACTTATTATCTGGGAAAATATTGTTACTGCGCTTAATCTTGCATCTAAACATATGCAAGCATTTGATATGGATCTTGGCAAATCGGGAAAAGCACTAAATTTAATTTAGATAAAGAAATAAGAATGGAAAAAGATTTTTAAAAACCCCACTATTCTTGCTCTTATAAGTTTGGACTTCCTGTTTCATTTGTTGAAAAAAGAACAAGAAGGGCTCCCAGATTCTTTAACGAAGGGGCCACAGACGAGCTTATCATTATCGCAAAAACAAAATTCCGTGTGGAACTGTTCTTTCCAACAATGGAATATATATATATATATATATATATATATATATAGCTCAGTCTGACCGTGTAGCTCAGTTGGTAGAGCGTCGATCTAGTAATTCGAAGGTCGC